TAAAAGTAAATGTTTTTTTATTTTTATTTATCTTTGAGACAGAAAATAATGTGGCCCTGGGTAGAGTGCCATGGCATCATAGCTCACAGCAAAGTGATCCTCCCGCCTCAGCCTCCCAAGTCTCTGGGACTATAGGCGCCCACTACAACACCCAGCTAGTTTTTACTACTTTTAGTAGAGCAAGGGTCTTGCTCTTGCTGAGGCTGGTCTGGAACTTCTGAGCTCAAGCAAACTACCCGCCTCTGCCTCTCAAAGTGCTAGGATTATAGGCGTGAGCCACCACTCCTGGTCAAAAGTAAATATGTTTGTGCCTCACAAGAAACCGTTAAGGAAATGAAGAAGTAGGCCACCGATTGGGAGAAAATATTTGTAAATCATATGTTTGTATTTATAAAATTTATAGTATATGGTACATCACACAAGTCTTGATGAAGAACTTGCATCCAGAATATGTAAAGAATTCTTACACACAGTAAGAATGTGTACAACCTGATTAAAACATGGGCAAGACACTTGAATGTATATTTTACCAAAGAAGATACACAGATGGCTTATAAACCCATTAAAAGCTTCTCAACGTCATTAAGAAAATACGGATTAAAACCTTGATGAGATACTCCTATGCACAGTAAAATGAAAATAATCAAGAAGACAGACAGACCGAGTGTTGGTGAAGATTTAGGAAAACTGAAACCCACCTGTATTACTTGTAGTAATGCAAAAGGGGGCCATCACTTTGGAAAATAGTTTGGAAGTTTCTTAAAGGCTAAACATAAATTTACCAGACCACCCTAGCCCTTCTACTCCTGTATAGCTACTCCAAGGAAATAAAAGCATGGGTCCACACAGAGTCTTCATAGGAGCATTATACATAAAGCCACAACTCTGTAAGTTCCCACCAGCTAGTGAATGTACACATGGAATATAGTATTGGGGTACAGTGAGATGTTATTCAGCAATTAAAGGAAGTACACTACTCAGCATGTATCCCAACTTGGATATCTAAACGATGTTATGCTAAATAAAAGGAACAGACACAAGGGCTCCGTGTTGTCTGAGTCTATTTAGGAAATGTCCAGAAGAGGCGAACTGGTAGAGACAGAAGTCTGATTTTTGGCTGCTGGGGGGTGGAGGCAGGAAACTACTCCAGCAAGCATGAAGGACCCAGGGGTGGAAATGTTCTAAAACTGGCTTGTGGTGATAATCACACAATCTATGAATTTGCTATAAGTGAATATGATAATCCATAAGCCTTAAAAACATACATTTCTGAGCTGACAGCTTCTGATTATACGGTTCTGCAATGCAGCCCTTAGTGGTTCCTGGTCCTTCTTTCTGCATAAATGTGATTCCCTCAGCATGGCATTCAAGGCCCTCACTTACTGTGCTGGTCAGGGCTCTCCAGACAGAACCAGCTGGATGAATGTGTGTCTGTGTGTGTGTGTGTGTGGAGAGAGAGAGGTAAAGAGATAGAGATTTATTTTAATGAGTTGACTCATACTATTATGGGGAATG